AAAAATTGGTATCGTTGCATCCCTACAATATACCTCACAATCTAGTTTATAACACACTACCACAACACTGCTGACTCGACAGTTGTCCAGATGACGATCACGGGGAGCGTAAGCCACAGAAACTTATGGCTGAAAAGGCTGGCTGTTCACAGAGCGCTGTATCGAAGCATATTAACGGAAAGCTGACTGGATGGGAAAAGCGTGGTAGGAAAAGATGCAAAGGCAACAGGGACGACCGCAGCCTTGAGCAGACTGACAAGAAAAGTCGATTCAAGAATTTGGGAAAGCTTTACAAGGAGTGGGATGATGCTGGTGTCAAAGCATCAGGAGCCACACCCACAGACGTCCTCAGGGAAAGAAGCAGTCTTAATATTAAGCTACTCCTGAACCAAAGACAACATCACAAGCATTTTACCGAGGTTAGGAAGTAAAAGAACCAAACTGTTGTTCAGTGGTCCAAAGGCCTCTCTTCAGATGAAGATAATTTTTGCATTTCATTGGTAAATTTAAATGCTAGTGTCTAGAGGAACAATGGACAGATACAGAATCCCTGGTGTGTGAAGTCCAATGTAAAGTTTCTGCAGTCTGCGATTCATCTGCCGGTGTCGGTGGAGGTTGGTCCGCTTCATTTCCTTTTCCAGCAGGACTTAGCACCTTCCCATAGAGCCAAAACTGCTACCCGATGGTTACCTTAATATTATTACTGTTGCTTAGTGGCCAGTCAACTCACCTGTCCTGAATAACATGGAGTATCTATGCAGGATTATCAAGAGGTAGATAAGAATCGACTGAACCAACCATCAAAGCAACATGAGGTTCAAAACACCTCAGCAGTGCCACAAGCTGATGCACTAATTAATGTTAATGGAGCCTGAACTGAGTACTGACTGCAGTCTTTGGCTCTTTTCCACAGCATGTCTTCCTGCCTTCCTTCTCTCACCCCAACCAATCACAGCAGATGGCCCCGCCCCTCCCTGAGCATGTTTCTGCCGGAGGTTTCTTCCTTCCTGTTAAAAGGGAGTTTTTCCTTCCCACTGTCACCAAAGTGCCTGCTCATAGGGGGTCCTATGATTGTTGGGTTTTTCTCTGTATGTATTATTCTAGGGTCTACCTTACAATATAAAGTGCCTTGAGGCGACTGCTGTTGTGATTTGGCAGAATTGAATTGAATAAATGAACATGCTTTTCAGAAGTTAGACGTTGCTGTATTAAAAATGATTTTAGATTACTTGAATAATCTAATATGCTGCATTTCTGATAGTCTCAAAATTTAAAAAAAGACTTGAAACTTGCACGATAAAAATGACAAAAATACAACTTTTATTTTTTTAGATCTGCTAGTGTATCATTCATTCTCTGTGATTGTTTTTTTTACTCTATTTATTATATTGTTGAGTCAGTCTGGTACATTTGCCACTGTTATACAGTCATCTTAAAGTCACCCATTTGCAGACTCAGTACTCACGAACACACTCAGCAGGATCTCCGCCCCAGCTTCGGTTGAATTGGCAGACACGACTCGACACCCCCCTCCGTTCGTGTCCTCCTTCGCAGTGGTATTCACACATTGCACCATAGTTGCTCCCATCGGAGGAGCAGCTGAGGTAACCATGCAAGGGTGGAAAGAGTTCTGGACATCTTCTCACTGAATGGAAAACAAAATCATGTAAATAAAATACAACAGTGATAACAAAATAGTAACTTAAGAAATCCGGTTTGGCAGCTTACCCTCAACACGCACTAAAAACTTGCAGGC